TTCCAGCTTGTCTTTTTAAGTGTTGTCCAACTGTTTGTCCAGTAGCACAAAATAAATCCGTATCTAGGGTCATAAAACAGAAATCAGATATATTAAACTAGGAGGCAATTTTTCAAAGAACCTTAAGATCAGTTGCTACAACTTTTGAAAATAAATCTTCCCATGGTAGCTGAATACTCACAGAAAGCTGAACACATACAGAAACTTCTAAATTGTACCATACATTTAATGCATTTACTTATCAAACATCCTTTTACCTGAAAGATGCACAAAATACTCTAAGTTTTCAGAAATAATTTTACAGGTTATATTTAAAGAAGAGAAGAAATCAGTATTTTATTGTCTATCTGTGACTAAGCCCCACTACTGCCTGACCATAACAAGTGTTTGAAATGTGACAAACAGTAACAAAGTACATCCAGCAACCTTTCTAGAAAAAAAAGCCAAGAGTAGAGCTAAAACAGTCCTTGAAGTGAAACAATGGAGGAATTTGGGGTATTTATTTTCAGAAGTTGTTACACATAGCATAACTTTCTAATGTTGGTCACGCAAAGCACTGATGAACTATATACCTGCTTTAATTCACACACAAATACCAAGTTTTTCAAACCTACCATATCACAGACCTTGTACTGCAAACTCCATCCTGGTAGGACTGGCATCCCTCACCCTTTTCACTGACTCACCGTGCCCCCTCCCAAATGGCACGGTTACAATGGGCACAGAGTGCTCTGAGCGAGGTCCCTGTGAGCTTCCAGCCCTGCTTCTCTATAGACCCAGCCTGAGTCCTGCGGGGCTCAGGCCGCTCTAAGCATGCAGCGGTGTTTTGCTTGGAAGACCTTCAAAATATACCATTCAGCCAAAGATACTATTATTTTTAGATGGGTTCCTACAGCCAGGTTCTTTCTGGTCCCATCCAACAATGGATTTAGACATGACACACTTTTTCCCGAAGCAAGAGATCCCGCAGGAAATAAGCGGGTTACCGAGCAGGAGTTTCTACACGTCAGTGCACACACGATGCTGCAGTCCAGGTCAGCCAACAAAAAACATGAGCAGAGAGGTGCAAGCATTAAGTCCTGCCCCGCCAGTGCCTTCTAGCCAGAAGAAAGCACTTTCTTCTGTTTGACTTTGGTGGTGCAGAACCCCCTCTTGAAGGAACACACGTCTGTTTTTCCAGGAATTGCGCAGATCTCCTATTTCAATGAATCCGGGGAAAATTACTCCCTTCACACATCAGTAAGCAGCCAGAGCACTCACCTAAGAAAAAGAAGGTGGGTACACAACGGTCCTTGGCTTTGAACCCAATCTTAGCATTGTAGCAGAAGGCAGCCTAACAGCTCTGGGGCTAGGCTGGGCAGCCTCAACCTTTCCTGCTAGAGCTGTGCCATCCCGCAAAACCCAAAGTTGTCTGAAGTGGACCACAGAGAGAACACAGGGAGATATGTGGCTCTCTAACCTGCTCGTCAGGCTACACCTGAGCCAGAGCCATCCTAGGTTCAGTCTTTCTTCCCAAGACTGTTTATGTATTTAAAGTGAAAAAAAAGTAAGTAGAGCATTTTGCTCGGTTTACTTGCTTTGAGAGTCAGCCAGCAACTAAGCAGTGTTTTTCAAGATCACAACTTTGTGCTTTGGTACCTAACTTTTGCTAGAATCCCAATTTGTCCTTTTTGACCATCCCCAAATCCTTCTCTAAGTGCTTAAATTACTGGCTTGATTTTTCACAGAGCCAGCTATCTAGCTCTTCCAACTTCATCTGATTTAGTTTTTTTTTTCAAGAGGAGAAAAATAAAACAAATTTTACGTTGGCTATTTCAAAATATTTTTTAGTTAGCTCTTCAAAAAAATAGGCATTTTCTGCCCATCCCTTGAAAATTGCTGAACATGAAATGTAAGAGGGGAAGAGATTTGATCCGGCTTTTCAGTTTTGTTCATATTACCATTCTCCATATTTAGCATAGGAGACTATTATCTCTGTCGCCTGTTGGCAACAGTATAAAGGCAGCCATATAGTAATTAACAAGTAATGCTGTGTGTAAAATTGCAGGATTTTCTAAATTTTTAAATTTAAAAACCAACTACTTCACTAGTAGGTACTTAGATCCTGATGTTACAGTACCATCCCCTCAAACAGCCTATCTGACCACTGAGGATTTTATTCTCATCATGCTTCTAAAAGAAGAATAAATAATTTCCACTGGAGGAAGAACTGGCTGACTGGGGCTAAGCCACATATCCACAGCTGAGCCAAAACCTGATATCACATCTTTTGACTGCAGGCTCGAACAACCACAACCATTACATCATTATTTGTGTGATTAAGCACTGCTATTCTACTAGAAAAATAAACATCTTGTCTATATCATGCTACAATGGTATCCAACCACCCACCACCTCTAGAGATGGATGAGTAAAATACAACTTTAAATTTCATCTACATAAATTAAATAAATTATATTCTGATAGTCAATGGTACAATGCAGGAGAATCACAAAAAGAAAAAAGAAAATCATAGCAGAGCTTTTCTACATTTAAAGAATTAAAAGCTTTTGAAACAAGTTGTTACTATTAAAAAATTGATTGCCAAAGGTGCAGCTGGACTTCCAAACACAGATAACCTAGAGAATCTCTGCCCCCAGGTGCTTCCCAGCGTAACTCTGAAACATCTCAGTGATGTGCCCAGAGGTTAGAAGTTTGTGATGGACTCAAGTACAAAACATAGAGTCCCTTCCAAGTCTTGCCATCACCCCGACCACCATACGCACACAGACAGTTACTTTGAGCAGATGGCTTTCCTTAGTGCTCTTGTGCAGTGTAATTGCATTTTGCATTCAACATTTTCAACATTTTGAGATGGCACTATTGTGGACTGTCTTGATAGATATATTTAAAACAGGTTGTAGGGTGTGAGCTCTTGAGACAGATCTGGTCATGTGTAACACGTTCGTTTTTAAAAGAAACAGGATACCCTGCCAGCAAACTTGTGGTCTTATGCAAAAGCACCAAATGGTGCGAACGGAGCGGGCAGCATGCAGCCAAGTTTTAAATGTTGGCTACTGTCATTAGTAAAACCAAAACACATCACTTTTACTGCTGGAGGCTACTAAGGGGAGGTCCACACCTACAAGCTACGGCAGTTTAACTAATATTAAAATGTTAAGCCAGCACAAATCCCTGTGTGGGCACTTTCATATGGATTTCAGGCAAGTTATATTGGTTACAGGTGCAAGCTAAGCCAGTAAGTCAGGTTTAAATAGGCTTAAATTTGACATACAGAGTAATATTTATTTAGCTAAATGAAATTTAAACAGCTTTTTAGCCAAGCCAAAGTAAATGTACATGTAGCATTTTCCCCATTAATTAAATGTGGGCTATTTTCCTCCTACTTAAGGACAATAAATAGAGCCACACACAAACAGTTCAACTTTGACACAGAGGCACCTCTATGGGTCTCACTTTATCCATAAACTTTCCAGAGGCCTGCACACAGGAGACTCATATTCTTTACAAGATTAGGATGTTCTTGGGGGTTTAAGTCAGACCTCCCCTCATCTCCCCCTCCTCCAAACCTACACAACACATCACATCACTGAATACATGCATCAAACAGCTTCCACCTGGCTGCTAGAGAAAGAGTGCTAAATGTGAGCAGCTAAACAGGGAAATCAAATCAGTAGCAGTACACACAAAAAGAAGCCAAGAAGAAATCAAGAGTCTCATGAGAAGATTTAAGGGTAACTTCCCTTGCTACACCTTTTTCCTTTATCCTGTCTTGTTCATGTCCAGGGCAAGCTCTTCAGGACAGAGTTCATCTGCTACCCTGTAGATGGAGTAGAGGCTCTGGCAATGAGGCCCTTTCTTGTGATTAGTCTCCACACCTATTAGTGTAATTACCATAATAAGAATCCCAGCTGGGACACATAACGGCTGCACCTTTGCCTACACAGGTGCAATCGAGACATCTGTTTGGGCTCAAGACAATCCAGGTCTTAGGTTGCCTAATGCCTAGTTCCTGAAGTTTTTTCTCTCCAAGCAGTTAAATATTTCTTCTAGGTTGTCAGTACCAGTTTATTTATTACAGTACACACAAGTACATTTTTAATGGAAAATGGACTCTGAGCAAGTGGCTTACGTGGTCAGGTTTCTCCAGCATCTGACAAGTGCCAAAGCTGTGCTAGGCAGGAAAGGGCAGGGATGCTGGGCTGTCAGGCAGCCTAATGCCACCGCTTCTGTCCCAGTCCGTGACCTCAACCATCACATGCAGCTGGCTGCAGGATGGCACATATGGCTTACCAATTATGTTTGTCATGTGGAGTAAGGACAGAGAACAAGGGAGAGATTGTGGCACTGCTCCATGAATGCAAGACACAAGCCTTGCTGGGGGCAGGAGAGGAATGAAAATGAAATATGAGAGTCTTGGGCTCATCCGATGTGACTCACCAGTACCCATTCACCTTTGCTACACACCTTTAGACAGTAGTTACACTATAAACCACAGTAATTGTCTGCACCCTTTTACTTTCATTCACTCTTTTTCTGGATCAAAGGGGAACTTTAAAAGGCACTAAGCAGAGTGGGATGCCTGTCTGAAAATGGGAGAGGACAGGGGGATGGTTAAGTGTACACTGCTGGTGGATGGCTAAAGCCAAACCTCATAGAATCATTAAGGTTGGAAGAGACCTCAAAGATCATCAAGTCCAACCGCATCACATTAACACCAGACACTGCA